CTAATCGTTGTATGTAAACCTTGTTTAATTGAGATCCTGGAATTAATTTTTCTAGAGATAAAAATTGGCAAATGGTCACTCATCCCAATATCTAGCACGCCTGATTTAATAACATTATCTTCCTTAGAGGTAAAGATAAGGTCAATCAGCATCAATAAGTTGTTTAAGCTGATACTGAGATGTTAGAACATGAAGTTGTTGATAAGAATGTTTATCTTGAAAATTTGTGTTTAAGTCCCCTAACATAATTATCTCTTTGTGTTCATTGTCAGCCATGTCTAATACATAGTTTAAGTTATCTCTCCAGAGAGTATTATTTACTAATGAAGTTGAACTCTCTAATTTGCAATTCGTCATCAGACCAGTTAGAATTTAAATGAGTTTCAGAGAAACAAAATACAATGTTGCTTTTCTTCCTATGCCGTATGGATTCAGAAATCATAAGCTTAACTTGGTCCAATTTATTTGTGATAGCCTGAATATTTAAATGGAAGAAAGTCAGACCCTTTGTTGGAATTAGACTAAAAGGGTTGTCGGTTAAATTAATATTTGCCATGGGTTGGTTGGAATTCAGGTCATCTAAGATATATAATTTAGAATTGCTAAAGATGCTGAATACAGTTAATTAAGTTTCTTGCCATGATACCACTACCTGACCTATTAAGGTGCAGAGGCCAAATCTGTCTAGGCCTCTTTCATCGATATTTTCATGGCTTATTATACCCAAGTTTCTTGCTTCACAGAGATCCTTTAGTAGGTTATTCAGTTGGGCGACCTTTTCGTTAATGCCAGGGCTATCAGTTCTAGTTATTATTTGCGAAAGTGTGATGTCGATCTTGAGATTGAAGTTATAGATCTCATCACAGAGCTTGGATATGTTTTCAGTTAGGGTTTTCACCTCACTTGATTTCAAATCGTTGGTCCCAACGTGGATAACAATATGGGCAGGTTGTAAACGCAAGGATGGTTTAATGTAATCTACCATACCCTTAACCGTTGCCCCAGGAAAAGTACGGATAATTACATTTTTACTGGTTGACCTTCTTATGTTCCTCGTATTGATTCCTCTTGTCAAAGAGTCTCCTAGGATAATTGTGAGATCTTCTCCAGCATGCTTTTTAGGACGGTGGTGGTGTTGTTTGGGTAGTGAAGTGTCATTGAAAGGCCGCTGTTGATGATCTTGTTTCTGCTGAGGTGGTTGTTGCTGATCATGGTGTGGCTGATGTGATTGTTGCTGCAGCTGATGCGTATCGTTGTTGCTGCTAATGTATTACTATATGCATGGTTCCTCTCAGTGATTTCTTGATTAATTTGAGGCTGGACAGAGCTCGAGGGGCCTACATATTGGCTTTGTGGGGGATGATGGGTGTTGTCATGTAAGTGAGCTACCAGATGTTGTCGCTGATATATATGTTGCGGTAGCAGTTGTTGGTTCGGAATGGTCTATGGCTCGGGCCATCTGGTGAGGTAATCTACCGCCACCAATATGTAACGGTTACCACTTGTAGTGCTCGGAAGATGTCCTACAATATCAATAGCGATCCGTTCCATTGGATATCCCGCATGCTCAATTACCAGTGGGGCTCGACACTTTCTTGAAGGTTAATTTATCTCTGCACATTTCCTGCAGTTTTTACAATACGCTTCGACGTCCGCTCTCCAACCACTCCAATAGAAACGTTTGCTCATAATTTCCGTCATCTCGCTCGATCCTAAGTACCCGGCACTTGGAATGTCATGCGTATATTCCAGGACTTCCTTGAATATCTTTCGAAGCAGACACATTTGAAGGTGGGTGAATTTAACGTAAGTAATCGTGTTCAAACGTTCTATGCAGAAGTCCATTTATCAGTGACAATGCATCGAACTTGCTCCACAACTGGCCCATCGTAGGACCCATATCCGCTATCTCCTCTCTAGGCTACTACCGTCCTGGACCCATTTTATTGCTCGACCAATTTCCGGGTCTTCGTGCAGGAGAAGTTTCATTGAGCACTCGGGCAGTTTCCGTCTTACATACATTATTTTCTACAACTCCGGTATCTTTCAACAGTATGCGCGACATACCATCCGTATTTCCATGGTTGCGTCCCGGCCGATGTTTTTAATAATTTTAATCGTTTTATTGACAACCAATTTTGCAGTTAAAACTGAATTAGACTGGTTTTACAACTGTAAGATACTATAACTAAGAATATGTAGTAAAATATGATTTAAGAATATTAAAAGTAGAAATTACAATGGTTTATCAACTATGAAATACTGTACAACTGGAGTGATGTAATAACATACGATTTAAAAATATTAAAAGTTAAGAGCTTATGTCATATAACGATGCTACAGACGGTTTGAAACTCTTATGCTAGCGATCAGTTGTACAAACTGGAACCTTAAAACACCTACTATGGCGTAGATTGTGTTCATTAATCCTAACAACTGGAACGAGCGAGTTTAACCCTATTTGTACCGGGGGTGCGCACAATGAGCGCACCCCTATAAATATTTACCCGTCATTCCTGAACAAATGATCCCATTTGCCTGTACTTTCATGACTTTTAATATTTTTCCTCTGCCGTCATAACTGCGAAAATTTTTTTCTGAAAATTTAAAGTTATCCGGACGTTTGCCGACATTTGTCAAACAAGGTGTTGGGCCAAAAATGGGAAAACGTGGGTTGGACAGGATATAATAATATAATTAGAGAACATATAAAGATGGATTATTACACATGATTTGCAAAGTAAAATATCCATAATATATTATATAAAATAGTAAAATATAGTATAACATATAATATAGCATACTATACAATACTTTATATATAATATAAAATACTTATTTATAATATTTTTATATATTCAAATACACATATTTCTTTGTACCTTCAAGGCATAACATCTCCCTGTTTTTCAGCAAGCACCAAACTTGTAGGGTGCATTATATATTGAACACTTTCGTACAAGAAATTTTGCAATTGAGAGAAAAACGTTTGCATAAAAAGTTCAGACTACTGATTGCCATGATTTTCAAAGTAACTATTGTGCTTTCGAAACTATACCACAAGCTTGTAGCTCGTAGCTAACCTGCCTTACACTTCATGTAACACATAGTATATTGGTATAAACATGGCTGCCATTTCGTATTTTTTCTACAAACGTTTGTTGGTCGACTTCAGTGCAGTGGCGTAGCAAACTCGATAATTGGGGGGGAACATATTCATATATTCGTGTTCTGCCTTATTAATTTCTTTTGAAATCAATTGTTTTTAAGGTCAGTGAACACGAATATATGAATATGTGCCCCCCCCAATTATCGAGTTTGCTACGCCACTG